TGCAGGCAGGACAAAGACACTGACATGCACAGTAAGATCAGGAAGCCCACAGTCCAAACCCAGCTTGTAGCTCTCTAAGGCAGCCTAGGGAATAAACCAGCCCACAAAGCACTGCTGGAGGGGCAGGCTGACACCCAGCGCTAGCTGAGGCTGAGGCAGAGCAGCTCTGCTGCTTTTTGGTCTGGACTCAGTGGATCACAGCAGCCTGCTACATCCATGTGCTCCACACAGGGGCTCTACAGCACACAGAGGCAGCGGGTCAGATTCAGAGACATCAGTGCTCCAAGCCTCTGCCTCAGTCTGGGGAAGTGAGCACAGAAACCACTCTCCCCCAACAGCTCCCCACGAGCATGGAGTTAGGCACAAGGGGAGCACAGTGTTTTTTTTAGTTTTTATTTTTTAATCCTTCCACACACCTGGCTTGGAACAAGGGCCTCAAAAGGACCAGTTCCCCGCTCCTTCCTATAAGGCCAGTGAGGCTGACTCCCTGATAAGTTATCTAGCCCAATTCAGAAAAATCCTGTTCTAGCAGGACCTCCTCTTTAAAACAGGCCAACAGTTGAACTCTGGTGAAAACTAAAAGCCTCCTTTTGACACAATTTGTATACTACACAGTGATTCTGAAGGGGCCACTACAGAACCAAGGGGCCAAAAGTACTAAACAGCATCCCTAATGCTTTCTGGTAGGAAAAGCTAATGCCAGTTCAGAAAGTCTCAGCTTGCTTAGCATTTCTGGAACACTTTCTGCAGGAGGAGGACTTCAAAGCATCTTACACAGTAATTACATTTCAGCCTCACAACACCCCTGTGAGGTAGGTATTTTTCCATCTAATAAAACAAAGACATAAGCTCACCAGTTTGGCCAAGGCAACAGCCTGTGAGCAGAAGAACCAGAGATCCCAGGAGTCCCAATTCCCAGGTAACCTAAAGAGACATACTTTTGTTTCCAATTAGAAAGTGCCTCGTGAATAAATCAATAGAGTGTTGCTGGTATTACAATGCCTGCAGTTCACTTTAAACACGACGCCTTTCAGTACGGGATGTCAAATGAACACAGGCTTCGACTTGAAATTGTTTTATTTCACATTACTGAAGGCACAGAGGAATATTCTGCATTCTGGATCTTCCAGCTGTGCTTCTGATGGAACAGGTGTGGCTTTCTTGGCACAGCAATCAGACTTTCAAGCACACTAAGATTTTAAGATGGCAAGGTCGTAACCATGCATGCCCAGAACAACAGAAAGCTACAACATAAGCCATCTTACCTTACCCAGTAACCACCAAGACCCCGAGAGAGTAAGCAGCCTTGCTCAAACAGTAGACAGTTTTCTAAAAAGGGCTCTCCTCACCATGAGGGAGGCAGACTTCTGAGCCTTTGCCAATCCAGGTCCCTACGCTCTTACAAGAAGCAGTAGCTAGTTACAGCTTGCTCTACCTGATGAGGTCTATATGCTTTGTACAGGCTTCCAGGCTGTTGAACTGGGCAGAAAAAAAAAAGGCAACCTTGGCCAGAAGTGCTGGAAGTTTGGGAAGTTTTCTTTAGACTGAAGTAGTCTCGTGGAAGAATCTGCAGCAGTCTACAGAGCGAGCTTGCTCTTTTACACCTGGCTATCACCAGGAAGCTCAGGAGTCTGGACAGCTAAGAAGTATTCCAGTAAGCCTTCCTTCCAGCTTTCCACCACCACGCTGCTCCTACGTGAAGTGACTAGCGTAGGACATTCAGAGACACAAATCCTGACACATACAAGTAGGGGGCCTTTGTTCAACAGGACATAGCCTGGCCTCCAAAACGGGAGAGGTTAAATAGGAAAAGACAAGGTTAAAAAGAGTTAAAACAGAAAAACCCAAGCAAGTAACATTCTGGGTTCTATCAAATGCAAAATGTGTGAGAAAGTCATTGTTAAGGCTGCCAAATCTGCTTTCTAAGTGACCAGGACCTTACTGCACGTTTAGTAGCTGCACACCGCTTCCTCTTCAAATTTTCCTCTTCCAAGCAGCAACGCTGAAATGAGATCTAATACCCTCTCCTCAGTCTCGGAGTACCCAAGTATCCCAGCACAGCCAGCTTCTGGCTGTGCTGTTCAGATTAGAGGATAAAGGAGCGTTTCCTTGCAGCACAGCTTGAGCATGACCAACCTCTCTGCTGATACTACCAGCACAAGCCCCTGCTTAAAAAAAGAAAAGCACACAGCAACCACCACCAAAACAGCAGCTCCAACACATCCCTTGGGGACAAGAGCTTCACCTGGCATAATTCAAAAGTATCTACACAGACTCAAGCATCACATTACATTTTTAAAAACCACAAGACAATATGTCCCCCTCCCAGTCCTTTAAAATTGGCACCACTAGTTCTAGAAACTTCTGAACCCACAATCGCAAAGAAGAGCCGTTTGTGTGTGAACTGCACTGGCCTGAATAAGCCCATGGCACTGTAACTGCTTGGTATTTAAAGCCCAGCAACTTTTGTTACCGCAGAAGAGTCAGAATCTGTCAGTTTTTGCCTAGTGATAAACATCACCCCTGCACCTGAAGGGGTGTAACTACCGGCAACTGCTAACTTTTTTTGCTGTGCAAGAAACTCCAAGATTCTCCTGTTCCCTCAAGCTTTCTGTAGCAAGGTGCTAGTGCATCTTTGTTACTATTCGTCTTAGACACAGAGCAAAAGTAAATGGACTGTTGCTGGTTAAGGTGTTGCACCTTATCAACTACTCAGGCTGGTTTAGATGCACGCACGTAGATTAAGACCACAAAAGACGCTTCAGATAGGTAGTCACCTCCACTGAAATTACTTCAGTGTCTGAAGCATTCATACCACCTTCCCTTCCTGAAATTCTGGTACAAGATCCGCCGGACGTTCCGATAGGCCAGGAGGGCTGGTGTTCCTTTCCTCAAGTGTACAGGACAACATGTAAACATATGACAGTGTCAAAGCAAGGCAGGTTTCTAGATCTACCTGCTGGTTTTAAAAAGAGTTCTTTAAAAACTGACCGTTGTCTTCCTTGCCAGTTACGTGAGCCATTAAATACTTGGCATGTCCTTACCCAAAGCTGGGTAATTAGTGCACTCACTTGGGGCGCAGAAGGGACAAAGCATTGCACAATAACGTAGAGTCAGGGCATTGCCCTGTAAGTTAGTAAGGAGCCAACCTTCGACAGCACATAACGAAGACAGATGTTTGGATCGAAGAGAAGTGACAAAAACTTAAGGACTGTGAGAAATAGGAGCAGAAGGGGGTAGAACAGAGCTGGCTGGCTGCTAATGGAGCTTCGAACGGCAGCTGCCTCTAGACGGGTGTTGTTATCGCTCAGGGGTAAGCGCGGCCTCCACAAGATTCCCTAATCCTGTCAAAAAAAGTACAACTGCCTGTCAACAACTACAGCATTCCCCTTCATACCATGACACGAGATCGCAGCATGCAGGTTAATCATATGCTTATGCCTCCTACAAAACCGTACAAGCTAGACATGATTTTATATTTGGAACTGTTTCTATTAACTAGTCTATCATACAGCTGGAGCAGAAATACCACCCATTTTCACAGAAAAGAACAATCGACGTACAGGAGAAAGAATGGTGAAACCTGGAAAGAAAAGGTTCTAGGCAAGGTGCTGATATCTAACATACACTATATTCATTTCAAAGTCTGAAGTGCAAAGAACTTAAAACACACAGGCCCCTTAGAAGGGCAGATCTGTATGTACGGTCTGCATTTCTAGATATCCTTTTAAAAAACAGGGTCTGCATTAAGGTTCATTAGCTCCTGCTGCTCATTCCCAGCCTGGAGTCACAACCAGCCGCTGAAACAGGAGTTGACAATGTCCTAAGAAGTTGTTAAAACCTCCAGACAAAAAGAAGCAGTCAGTACAGTTCTCTCCAACTGTTTAGGGATGCTCTGTACTTCTAACTCAATTGTATTCAGTTATGAGCAACTCCTGAAGGCAAGAGAGCACTACCTCACAGCAACATAAATGGTGACACATACAGGAGCAAACAGGCCTTCAGGCAGCAGCCTGCCCTGGGACATCAGGCATGCTACTGGTAATCTGGACTTCCTCAGGTAAATTGCTGTCACACACCTTCTTCTTCAGCAGGTCACACACTAGGTCATCACAGTATTTGTATACATTTCAAATCTGGAGCAACCAACAGACCGAGAGCTAGACAACACCCTACTGAAGGCAGGCCAGCTAATACAGCAGCATCAGTTAACTACACTAAGAGGAATAAACTTAAGAACTTAGGTAAGCCTCTTCTATATGAGAAAAACGCTTAAACGCTTAGCAAAGAACTGCTAAGTTCCCGCTGTGCGGCATACTGCTGGATTCCTAGCGTTTCAGTTTTTAACCTGGTCATTTCACAGAGAATCTCTTTCCTCATTAATTTTATTCCAAGCAATAGCTCATCTGCAGCGTTAGCGTTCCCTCCATTCACCTCAAATGGCTAAAAGATTTTTTTTCCTGAAGTAACCACATCCTTCTGGTAGTTTGGATAAATTTTGCCTTTAATGGATAAAACAGAAGGCCAAGTTGAAATAATCCAGGCAACAAGAAAATAACGGAAACTGTACCACTAGTTGAAGCTTTTCTCTTTGGACAACCAGTGTCCAAATTCAAGTCTTACCTGATCATTCCTCATGTTTAACTGTTTACTATTCTCTTGTGCTCTCTGAAGAGCACAGTCAAAACATTCTACCTCTCCCATAAAAAAGATGCTCTCTATTAAAAGAGACAACTAAGAAAAGTAATAAAACTGTTTATTAAATAAGGTAAAAGCTCATTTTTTTAAAAAATACCAAAAAATCTTAGTTTTCAGTTTGGAGCAATTAAAATAATTCACGGAGGGAGGATATCACCACTGGCCAATAGCTTCACATTCTGTACGGGACTCTTGCTCTCCATCTCTCTATCCTGATGAATCACCCTATCTTAACTCTGCCAGCTCTGCCTTGTATTGTCTTTTGTTCGTTTAAAAAAAAAAAACAGTTGCCATCGGGTCACCTGGAGGAGCTGCGCTCTTTGCTGACACAGTCGTCTTGGGAAGTTGTATCACCGTTACCCATCATGCTACATGTTCGCCTCTTTTTCCTCCGGTGCATCATTCCCTCTGTCTCAGAGCCAGAGTCACACTACAGCATGAAGAGAGAAACAGCAGAACTCAGCGAAATTAGGGAAACCTAGCAAACTCTGTTTGTGCTATGGAATTCATCCTAAGAGCTTCCACAGTAGTGCTGAGTAACAAAAATTAAGAAGAGTATCTGCTATTTTAGATTTGACTTACAAAACCAACTTAAAATTAAGTGATTAAAACCTAGGAACAAGCCTATTCAAGTTTCATCAGTGACTACAGCACAGTTTGGACAAGACAACCAGCGCATTCGCCAGTTCGCCTCCTAGAAGGCCCGCACTTTCTGAATGCAGACTCAGCACTTTCTGAATGCAGACTCAGCACTTTCTGAAATGCTTAAGCCATTACAGGCATCTTAACTGGACACCCAGAGGAGTTCAGCGTCATAACTGACATTCTCTGTTCTGTATCTTAGCCCCCCTCCCCATTTGTAAAACAGCAGTTTTGCAGTCAGTTCAGACAAACGTGGCTTAGCTAAATTAGTGATTGATTTGCATGTTATATACACACACACACATCAAAGAAGCCGAGTTCATTCAGCAATACAAAGACAGTCTGTAGCAAATAGAACCTGCTAAGACCAGACTCCTCCACCATACAGCACTTTTTAAATTTGCTTTTTATTCATTTCCTTCATAAGACACGAATATTAGGATGTGGATCTTTATTAGAGCTGACCCATGCACAGGTATGGGGAAAATAACGTCAATGTAGAATTCAGATCACCTATTGTAGTAAAAACCTTACCTCTGAATCAGAGTCTGAGGAGCTGGAACTTGAAGAACTGGAAGAATCACTAGAACTATCAGAAGCAATACCAGTAGACTCCTGTAGGTCAACTGAATCAGCCAACGCTGCCAGGTCAGGATGTTCCTGCTTCAGGATCCTAAATATAGTTGGGATTTCAGGATTAGCTTTTGAGCGGTAATGCTGCACAAAAACGAACAATGATTTTTATGGAGAACGTGAAAAGCAAGTTACTAAATCTCTTACCTGTACCATTTCCGTGATAATTTGGGCCTCCCTCTTACTGTCTTGTGCCACACCACCGGGAAGTTGGTACAGCTGGCAAAGTTTTGTGTGATGGCAATGGTTGTGTCAAGATTGAGAACTACATGCCACCAGCCACCTATAAATACAACACCAGTGACCACTCCTGGCTACATAGCCGAAAGTATGCTTAAGAACAGCCACGTATACTTTCCCACCTGCTACGAAACCATTCTGTTCAGCTTTCCAGCATGGTATAGCAAAACGATGACGTTATTTCATTGTCACGGACTGGAACGCAGACGGTCTGACTTGCCCAAAGCTACAGAGTCCACAGCAGAGGTGGAAATTGGACCTTATCTCCCAAACCCAGGTGAATCTGTCACTGAACGTTCTTTCTTCAGTCACATTCTAGACTTCACCGTTGTTACAGAAGGCTGCTCGATGCTCTGACCAAATTCTCCAGCTCACAAAGTGCACTGAAGATCTGACTTGACAGCAGCATGCTGGCTACTGACAGCTTACTTAATAGCAAGTGCCACTGTAACCCAGTCTGCACAGAGATCCTGATAAGCTGGACAGCACTTTCCATGCTGATTTAGTAAGGTTCATATGATTAGGGACTAACCTTTCCCTTAAAAATAGATGCAGACTGCTTTCCAACACAGGATAAAAATCAGACAGCCATGTTCTTACAACCCACTTATAACCCCACAAAAAAAGGCTAAAGAAACAGTTTAATGGAAGTAGATAGCTACAAAATCATAACAGAAAGTACACTGAAGAGTCACAGTAAGTGCCAAGACAATCACAAGGCACTTTTCAAACAGGAAGTCATCTTTATTTCGGAGACAAGCAAAGTGGAAAGAAGCGACGTGCCACGTTGCACAAAAAAGATGCAGTATTTAGAGGTTAGATTTTAGGCACTGAACTCACGCACTTTATCCACTAGCTACCTCCCAGTTATAATGGGCACACAACGTGCAGCCATTCTAAGATCTGATAAGGATGCTATTCTCTTAGGCTTCTGATTTCAAATGCAAGATTAGGCATAGTCTCAGGGAAGCGGGTGGAATGTATCAGTGCCTTTAAGTAGTTCTTTTCCCACAGTCAAGAAAAATTCACGTGCAGTCAGATTACCAGGTATAAAATCCACTCATGAATTTGCTACGCTATATAGAACCTCAAGAACTTGTGCAAGAGTTACTAGTATTCAAACACTTCTCGTTGGGTTCTTTTTTTTTTTTTAAAAACACCTTAATGTTTTCCCACTATCATAATTCTGTTCACAATCACATTTCTGGGCTCATCTATCGCATCTCAAGTTCTGTTTTGACGTCTCTACCACATGCAATCCTATGCTACTGGCCATTTATGTTTCAGGGCATTCAGAAAGTAACTGAACAATCTCAAAGACGGCCTCACAATACGCGGCCCTTTTGAAACAGCTCAGAGCAGTTTAATTTGTGAGAGATGAGCCATGTAAGCAAGCTGCACTACTCCCTTCACCTCTACTACACGTATGCAAGAACGCGCTTTTCTCTCCCAGATTTCCTTACTGGAGAGAATTGTACATACCTGGCACAAAGACTGTCTCGCCTGGTTTCTGCAAGATTTCCAGGGGTTTGAATTCAGGGGGCCAGGTGGGTAGCTGTGTCCTAGGATATATGACATTGAACCAAGTGATAGCCTCATCCTGTTGGTTCCCTCCCTCTTCTCGGGTCACTTTGATCAGCTCTCTGGGAGTGCTGGTGGGGAACAGGCACCAACGCTTATGTCCCTGGACTAAGGCATTCCAAGCACTAGTTCCCAAGGGATCAATGTGGATTCCTGTTCCAGAACGAGGTGGGCCCATCACAAACCATCTGCATATGGGGAAAAAAAATTCTTTAGTCGCACTGCAAGCAAGTAGTTACCTTCTCTAGTAACTTTCCTTCATATTAGACAGGTATTTACAGCTGTTAATTTCAAGTATAGTTAGAAACCAAAAGGGTAATAACGTAGTTACAGGCTCTTCATTTGCATTCTAGGAAGAGTCAGCAGCAAAATTGCATCAAAAAAAGATTGTTACAAACTGCAGCAAAAGACACAACAGCCTTAAAATCTAAAAAATCTACACCTAAATCACCTAGAAATCTACATGAATTGTGACAAGAATCACTCTGGGCCAAGGAAGTGAATAGGACTTTTTTAAAGCAAAGTACCACTATGAAATATAAACAGTTCTCCAGTAAGATATTCCCTGATTTCAAGGTTTCAGTCTGCATTTGAGTAGAAATCTTTATGAAGGCAATTAAGTCATAATCGCCTGCAGGAGGAGTCTTATGATGCAGGAGGTACCTCCTAATCCTATGGTTTTCTAAAATTTGCTACTCATAAATTGAACGAGAACTGCAGAACGAGGAACAAAAGGCGACACAAATAAGGAACAGAAAGTTACGCAACCCCTGCCTCCCTCTATGCCTTCTGTTCATTTACAACTGCCTTTTCTTGGTAACGTTTAACTAGTTACGGCTTACACTTCTAATGGTCAGGATTTGCTGTGTGTATTCTCATTCCCCATTCGTAAAGGTTATTTCTCTCTATAGACAACTTTATCTGCTACAGGCATTTAAAAGTAACAGCACCTTCAACTGCTCATTCTCTCTGAAAGAGAAGAATAAAGTCTACCATACAAGACAAAACAGCGTAAGCGAGGTGACATATTACCAGATGTCAAGAGGGAAAAAAAAGGCAATAACTCTTTAGTGGGCAGCAAAGATAGAAACTAAAGCACCACAAATTTGAGTCTTCTTCCAAAGAGACCCTTCCATTGTGTGGCAGATAGTCAGGTGACACCCAGCAGGAGGAGTTCAAAGGCTCAAAAAATTCTGAAAGTCAAAGCCCTCCCCGCTCCAATGCAGGAGTAAGTTAAGTAGTTTACAGGTACAGTTTGCTAGCACTGATTATAGCACTGCAAGTTTGGTTTTCAAGCTTCACAAAGAAGCCATAAAAACTTAAGCAAGCAGGTGTTTGTCCATTCTGTTGCCAGCTCAATCCTTAGAGTCATGTTAGTCTTGGAAAACTAATTAAATCACTAGTAGCAGAATGAAAGTTTTTCTTAGTAAAGTCATAAAAAATTGAACGTGTACAGGCCTATCTAGTAAAGGAAGTGATGCACTGTTCAATACTGCTTTTCTGACTATAATCAGAATCTACGTGCACACAAAGATTTTAAATACTTATTTAGCAACACTATAATTTACCAGTATCTTCCCCCAGGCTTTCATAACAAACATCACCTAGCTTGCCTCAAGTCTTCAGATTTACTGTTAGAAACACAACACCCTGTCATGCTTTAAAAACAAACAAAAAAAAACCCAAAAAACCAAACAAACCCCCCCCCAAAACCCTACGCACGATTGAAAAACCCCACAGCCATTTCAGTTAGAGGCAGTAACTTTTGGAAGCTGTTATTTTAAAAGACAATATGCTTTAAGCAGCAAGAGTTCTTATTTTAAGATCTACACACCACCATACTTCTCAATCCAGAAGTCAATCTGTATAGTGCATATCCTGATCATATGACTAGAAGGCATCACTTAATAGCATAACTGGAAATTTAGCATAAACTGCTAAATATTCTTCATCTGTTCCTGTACCTAGGTGAAACCCATAACCCGAAGAGGCATCAGTGTGCTCTCTTGCGTCACTCCTCCCTCAAAAACAGTAAAAGTCTCAAATCAACCCACATTCCCCCTGCTCTCCCCTCCCGCCCCCCCAAAAAAACCCTCTACAAATTTTGTGGATACCAAGATCACAAGCAAGGAGCTCAGCATGTGAATGTGGGTGGGGGAAAAGAGATATCAATATAAGTGAGTCACAATCAGATTATCTAGTTTACCTACGACTTTGATAAATGAGTCCTCATTTCCCAAATGTAACTAGTTTCTAATAGAGACTACACCCAGTTAGTATTCTTTGGTGTTTGATCATAGCATTGTATGCTTTTTCTTAGCAGTGAAAGACGAAAACGTTCCTGTTAGTGTTGTAAAAATGTCAGTTTCAGAGATCTTAAGAAGAAATAGTTTCCACACCTCATTCCTGAAAACTTACAACTGGACTATAGACACATGACAGACTGCAGGGCAGAGAAGCAGAAGAATACCATGTTTATTACTTGTTCTATTTGATTTGAACAATATACCACCACCACAACAAAAAAAACTCAGAGCGACACGTCATTCAAAGGGCAAGTCATTCTCTGTCAATTACAACATGTATGTAAAGACTTTAATTACTTGGGAAACATTCAACTAATGCTCATACTGTTATGAAGAATAATATTAACTTAGCTAAATGTTATTTTTGTACCCAGCAGCCTGAATACAAGGTAATTACATTTGATTTCAGGAATCAAATGTCATTTCAATCCTGTTTTCAAGTAGATGCTTCCTGGTTTCAACTAGATGCTGAAAAAGGGTGGAAAAGATTACGTAAATGCAAAATAAATACCGTTCTCTCTTGACACCATCTGAAGGGAAGCTAGGAACTCATTTCCACGCTTCATACATAATCTATCTTAAGATCTTTATCTTAAAAGGACTGACTCATAATTAAACGTACATAACCCACTGGGGCAAAACTGATGAATTAGGCTTGAGGTACTTAGAAATCTGAAAACCATAAGGCACTTCAAACACATCAAGAAATTAATCTTCACAACTTTCAGTAACTATTTTATTTTTTAAAGCTAAATAGTAAGGCAAATGTCTTGACAAAAAAAGGGGGGGGGGCGGCAATGTAATGCACTCGTAGCAACATTGGTAGCGAACCAGAAATTCTGATACATAGAACTGCACCTCCCTCCTTCTAGGCTACCAATGCAGGCTCATCTTAAGATAGTGAACGTAAAGCTACTGCTTTGTTTTATATAAATCCATTATGTCTGTTTAGGAACAACTAATGAAACAGGAAAAACGAAACAAAACAAAGTCTTATCTTGTTCTCACAGTACTATACCTGTAAGGCGGCCTTCGTTTCTCTCCTGCATACTGAAAGAGATCATCAGTGAAGAATTTGGGTACTTTGTAGTCCTCCAGGAGTTTCCTACGCTTGGGATGCTCTCCATAACTGCTGTCAAAGATGTACAGTGGGCTGTCATCACGTGTGGTCTCCATGTACTCTATGTAGTATTTCATCTTCATCTTCACAGAATAACCGTCATTGTCCTCACCGCATTTGAACTTCTGGTTCCTATACTTGCGTTTGAGACGTTCCAGAGTCCACTTCTCTTGGGCAGACCAGCCCACCTGAGCGTTCAGCAAGACTACAGGCTTGTAAGGCTTTTCATAACGCTCAACAAATTCTTCCACTGTTAACTGGAGTGCATCTGCCCTTTCTACATTATCCTGTGAAAGCAAGGGACAAATACAGAACAACAACTTTTAGGCCAGATTAACATCCCAGTGCTGCACTCCCTAAACCAGCACTTCAACTCATGCTTTGTTCCACGGCCCATGAGAGTATTAAGCCGCCTATGTGTTATTTTAAGCTTCCCCAAGACTGCAGCCCCATTTCTCATGCCCAGCCCTTTACACACTTCAGTAATATCAGCAGACTAAAGTTCTGCTTGGCACTCCTCCCTGTCGAGGTAATTAACCAGGCGGAGAGAGCACCTCTGGCCTTTCGGCTGACACTTTCCCTGCTGCACTGCCTTTCACTCTGCTCCCCAGGGCAGGGAGCGCTCACTGCTTCCCCCCCCTCCCCGGAGGCCCTAAGGAAATGGCCTGGGAGCCACCAGGGAGCTGCATGGGCGCCCCCACTCTGAGAGGACCCAGACAGCTATTCCTGACAGTCCCCCTCCCGCCCCGGGGAGCCCCAGCAGCTCTGGGACAAAACCCACCTCAAGAATAGGGC